GTCCAGCCTGTGCAAAAGAACAAGGCTCCGTCTCCAAAAAAAAACCAACAATAAAAACTGGGCAATAAATTTCTTAATGAAATACTAGTAGAGATAATGGATTGAACCCATATGTAATTTTATTTCCTCCTAAGCCTCCACCAAAACTACAGTAAAGGAATCCTTAAAAGCCATCAATCCTTAAAAGTAAGGAGAACAAGTGAGAGAATGGGAACATGATGCTGGAGGTGGAAACCTGATGGGCAAATGCTAAGTGACCTGGTAAGTCGAGTAAGGAATGCCAAGGGATCAACGTGGCAAACATCTCAGAGGCCTGGAAGGTGGCAGCAGGTAGGGAAGTTAAGAGGAAGATGGGTCCCCAGGCACCCTCTCCTACTCCATGCCATGGGAAGTACTCTGAAGCAGAGGGCCCCAGATAGAGCCAGGGGCTTGGGTACTATTTCAGTCAGAAGGTCAAAATTATAGGCACATACTAATTAATGTATGACAACGGTCCTCTTTCCCTACCTGGCACTCAGAAGTCAGGGCAGGGAGCCATGCCTTGACCTACTCGACTGAAGAGATGAGCCTTACCCTACCTACCATTTAGTCTCAACACTGTGGCAAGGGATCTCTATAACATCTAAGTCTTATCATGACACTCCTTTGGGGGAAACCCTGAGTGTAAGAGTCCTCACCGTGACCTAAAGGTCCCACCTTATCTGAAGCTCCATGATCCTCGAACTTGACTTCTATCACTGTTTCCCCCACTCTGGCGAGACTGGTCTCCTTACTAGACCCTGAACCCACCCAGCCTTCCTTCCTCCCGCAGGGCCTTTGCACTTGCTGTTTCCTCTGCCTGGGGTGTCTGAATGGCACTTTCACTTCCTTGAAGTCTCGACTCAAACACCCTTGTGAGATCCACCTTGGCCACTGTACTAAAACTGCACCCCTATCTCCCTACACTTTCCATATCCATTCTTCCATTCATTTTCTCCTTAGCATAGCACTTATTATTTGAGATATTAACATGTTATTTTTCACACCATAGGCTTTGAGCACAAGATTTTTGGTCTCTTCTGCTCACTGATGTGTTTCCAACATCATCAACAAGAATGCTTAGCACAAAGCAGGCACTCAATATTTATTGAAGCCAGGCATGGTGGCTCACATAATCCCAGCACTTTGGGAGGCTGAAGTGGGTGGATCACCTGAGGTCAGGAGTTCGAGACCGATCTGACCAACATAGCGAAATCCTGTCTCTACTAAAAATACAAAAATTAGCTGGGTGTGGTGGGCAGCGCCAGAAATCCTAACTACTTGGGAGGCTGAGACAGGAGATTTGCTTGAATCAGGGAGGTGGAGGTTGCAGTGAGCCAAGACTGCGCCACTGCACTCCAGCCTGGGCAACAGAGTGAGACTCTGTCTCAAAAAAGTAAATAAAATTAAAATAAATAAAAATATTTATTGAATGAGTAAAAAAAGAAACTTCCCTAGAACTGAAAGACAAAACTCCCTAGGGTTTCCAGATTGAAAGTCCCACCAAGTGCCCAGTGTACTTTTAAAACATGGGGAACAAAGACAGAGGAGTCTGCAAGTTGATAGAGGTTACAAACAAAAGACCACACACATCAGGATGCCTTCAAACTGACAGCAACGTGGGAAGGTGGAAGACAACCGACAAGTAATTTCTGACCTACAATTTATTCCTATCGAACCTCTCAGACACATCTGAAGGTAGAATAAGAGCATTTTGAGTCTCTCGAGGCCTAAAAATATTTTTCCTCCACACACCCCTGCTCCATAAAGCTACTAGAGGATATGTACCCCCTGCACCAGAAAACACAGGATCCTGCAATCAGACGGGGTGTGCAGGGAGAAGCAAAGGAAGCTCCAGGGTGATGAAGGGAGATTCTGGGGATGGCAACTGCACACTACAGTGCAGCCTCTCCAGGCAGAGGGAGGGAGGCCCAGTCAGGACCAGGGCTCTGCAATGTACAGTCCCTCCGGCATGATAAAAACTACTAGAGGACGGGTCACACTGAAATAGCAGAATAAACCAAGAAGGTATGGTGGCGCATACAGAGGATGGGAATCTCACTCAGAAGAAAGGCAGAGGACGTCCCGGGCCGACAGCCGGCAGCTTTCCAGACATGGCAGGAGGCCTCACGTCAAGGTGGGCAGGAGGACCCCAGTAGGCCTCACGCCAAGGTGGGCAGGAGGACCCCAGTAGGCCTCACGCCAAGGTGGGACGAGAACCGAATACCTGAAGGGGCCGTCCTTGCAGGAATATGCATGACATGCAACTAAGGAGAGGAAGTAGCAGCAGGCACAAATACCTCTAAACTGAGAGGGGGAGTGGCATATTTCATGTTCAGGAAACACAAAAACTCAAAGACAAATTACTGTTTGGAAATATGGAGCTGCAAGAAGAAACCAGGGGAGGTGGGGAGGAATGGGCCATGGGGACTACTGGAGTCTTTCACAAGCCATTTAAAAAAGAATTCCTTTAAAGAAATCAAAGTTAACTTCCCACAAGATAACCCTGACTTCTCAACTCAGCTCCCCACTCTTCCCACCACCAGGGTGATATTTCTCCTTCCCAGTATCCACCCATCAAATGCAATGGTGACGATGTTGGTACCCAGCATCCAGGCGGGAAAATCATGACAGAATCTGAGTACTTTGAAATAGTTTTATTGGCTCATAAGACCTTTGCATATAAAAAAAATACCCAAAACACTATGCAGTATTAAATCACAATTACATTTTTTTTTAACCAATTGAAACTACCTAGAATATACATTTTTAAAGAAAAAAAATCCTATGGAACTGAATTCTGAAATGACATGACTTAAATACTATGACAAAATAGATAATTCCTTATAACATTAAATCATTGCACAAAGCTGCCAGATATTTTCATAAGCATAACCGCCGCACCAAGTGCAAATGAACACAATTTCAATGTTACACATTTAGTTGAAATAACTGTGCCTCCACCTACAAAACTCTGAAATTTCTGGCACAAAATGTGGTTCTGTTTTAACTTCCACCAGGCAACCAATTTTGCAACCCAGTTACTTTCTTTCTGGCCCTCCCTTAAAAAAGCAACATCCTTCTGCTATCATGGCCTGAAGAGTCAGCACCTCCTCTGCTTGAAGAAGTCGACTCCCCTCAACTCTTCCGGCAGGTACTCCTGATCCACAGGCTCGCTGTACATGGGGTTGTACTTGTAGCCTTTGCCATAGCCCAAATCCTTCATCAGCCTAGTGGGTGCATTTCTCAGGTGCAGGGGCACGGGGGGCAGCGGCCCCTGGTGGTTCCTCATGCAGGCTTTGACGTTGTTGTAGGCGCTGAACACCTCAATGGACTTTGGGGCTCTGGCAAAGTAGACCACGCACTGGGCCAGAAGCACCTACCAACGACACAGAAGGACACATTTTACTAGCAAGAGGCTGCGCTTCTGCTCTGCAGATCCCCTTCCAATTCACATCTCTAGGTAATGCTGAGAAGATCCCCACATGCTTTTATCCCCATTTTGTGCCTACAGCCTGGATAACCACCTATCACAGACAGAAGAAATTCCCACGAGGTGAGAGGCAAACCAGGTGAGTGGTTTTCTTTCTTTTTTTTTTTTTTTAACTGAAGGACTGTTTACTAAATTAAATTTTTCTTAGGCCCCCAATATATAAAGAGATGAATATGAAGGTGCTCTGGGGGCAAACTCGCAGAGACTTCCTGTTCAGCTCCTTTAACCTTTCTGCTCCCTGGAAAACCTGGCGCATGTCCTCTGAAACCCAGAATCCTGAGGACAGTGTGAAACACGACCTCGCTGACAAAGAAGGTTTCCCTCTCTCGGAGTCTAAGAGTCTACTATAGGGATTCAAAAGCCAAGTAGCATATTTGGTGGGCTCAATCCACCAATGGTGAAGGAGGGACATCTATTCAAATCTACAAAGGGACAGAGCACAAGAGAAAAGAAGTGACGTGCAAGGAGCTGAGCTGATTACTTTACCTCACATTCGGGCATGCCTATAAAATGACAGCCTTGGTAGGCAGCAACTGCTTGTGTTAATGCAGATGGGTCTGCCAGACCTGCCACACACAGAGAGACAAAGGAGAGTTTTAGTCACGACACACACTGTCCTCCTGGCTTATGGGCAGGTGACCACAGACCACCACTGCTTGTACACTTGACTAAAACAATCCCGTGTAGCAAAACGGACTGACTTAGCTCTAGTCTCTGATCCCATGAACTTAAGCAAGAAGTATTTAGTGAGTGGTTACTGTGTGTGGTGTGAAGAGCGGTTTCCCTGGGGGTAAAAACTCTACATCTAGGAAAATAAGCGTCTCTGTACAACAAACATAAGACGTCAAGGCTATGGAGACATTTGCCAGGATGGAAACACTAAAAGCCAAACATTCCCTAACACCAAAGAAGAGGAGTGCTTTCCTGATCTTTCCCTTCATATAGTGTCTAGAGTCTTCCATTTCTACCTTGGGAGCTATCCAAAGAAAACCCTGAACACCTGACTTCAAAGCAAATTGGAAAGCAGCTCATCTTACTGCAATGCTCTGAATGTTAGTCAAAACATTCCCAAAGAGGAAACAGAAAATGGTGACTTTACGAACACAAATATTCAAAAGCACACACACCAAGTAATAAACACCTGAGCTTAGACATAGTCTTATCTTCCCCTGCCAGTCTCACATAGCCCTGAGACATTCTTCCTGCCCCCACTCCCCTGAAAAGCCACGATGTAACTGTCAGCCATTCCCCCACCCCCAGGACATAGGGCTCCGGGACCCTCCCACCACACTCACCTATGTCCTCGCTGGCAAACCTCACAAGCCTCCGTGCCACGTAGAGAGGGTCCTCTCCTCCCTCGAGCATGCGAGCCAGCCAGTAGAGGGAGGCGTTCTGGTCGGAGCCCCGCATGGACTTGTGCAGGGCGGAGATGCAGTTGTAATGCTCCTCTCCTGACATCACAAAGAGCACCACTCACATAGAGCTCACAGGAGGGGCGCCCAAGCCATCTTAGTCTCCACCAGCTGACTTCCAGGAAGCCTGAACAAAGGCCCTGGGAAAGCCGAGGAGAGGTCTGGGCAGCTGCCTCAACTATGCTCTGAGCAGGGTGCACTGGCTGCTCGGGCCTAAACCTGGGACATGGCCCAATGCAGTTCTCTGTGGGGCTAGGAGCCTGTTCAGGAACCCAGTCCTATTCAGGGGAAGAGGCTGCTGCAGCAGAAACCTGTGGCTGTCCACACAGTGTGCACACACAGGCACAGAGGCAGCAGGTAAGAGACATTCACTTGGAAAGGCGGTCCTTCCAGCTGGCGGATTTGCCAGAGACAAGAGTGAAGGGACGGCGAGTCTCATGTTCTGGCTCCATCCTGCAGCCCACCCTCTACAGCAGGAAAATCGACAGTGGGTCTGGTCGGAGCCAGGAGAATGCAGAGCCAAGTGGCCAGAGCAGCTGTTACAGCCCATCTGTTCCTCAGTGTCATTTCCAGCTGCCTTTCTGATATCTGAAGCCTGCCATCATCTAAACCTCCTTCCGCCAGCCTTGGTGTGGGGACACCTGTGTGGCAGGGTCCCAGAAGGACCAACACATGGACTATCCTCTGAAGGTACAGAAGCCCACTCTCTCACCGCCTGGTCTTATCCCATTTTTACCCTAGATTCACATGAAATCAGTGAAATGTGCTTTTAAAAAAAGGCATATTTAAGGGCAAAACATTAAAGCTAAACAGTTCTCAGGAACTAAGCAGTGGCACCTGCACACATTTCACTATTCTTTGGCCATTGTCCCTTACGTAAGTTCAAGGAGGGGGCACCCTTCTCACAAGAAAGCAGAGAATGGTGTTCCTGTGAGTCTCACTCCTCCCAGAGGAGCTCCTGGTCTGTGCTCAGCATAAGCCCACGTCCACAATACAACTGGCACCAGTCACAAATCCTGGCAGCTGAGCTCACTGGCAAAATGTCAGTTGGTCTTCAGGTAGAGAAGAGAGCAAGCAGAAGATGCTGGCCTCCCACAGGGGAAAGACCTGCAGGACTCACAGCTCAGCCCAAGTGACCCTGGTTTCCGAGAACTGGGGCAGATGAATGGGTCAGTCAGCTCAGCTACTGGATTTCTGAGAACAAACTGAGGGTCTTCTGTCCTGGGCTTCCCTGGTGAAGTCAGAGTGCTAGCAACACTGGCTCAGAGGGTGTCCTGGAAGAAATCTGCATGTTTCTGGCCCATGCTATCACGCTGCTGGCCCAGGCACTCTGGCTACACTCTGCTCCTTTGCAGGGCAGAGGAAGGTGGGGGAGGAGGGTGGCAGAGAACAGGCCAGGCTAAACTCAGGGCACCGGGGCTGGAAGAAACTACCTAGGCCACTTTATGCCAAAGTTAAACTCCCCCACACAGGTCAATCATCTTCTCCCACCTTGTCAATATCAGGCAATACCACCAGTATAATAGGCAAGAGCACAGGCTCTGGGACCAGGCAGCCTGGGTTGGACCCCAAAGCTCATGAGCCATGGGCAAGTTTCTGATTCTCACGGTGCCTCAGGTTTCTCATCTGTAAAATGGGGACGAAACCACTTACCTCACAGGGTTGTATTAAATAACACACGCCTGGCACAGAGCAGGCACTATAGAAAGATTCTTTTGCATCAGTGGTAGATACTTGTATTATTCTATGCTATCTTCCATGTTTACTTTTAATATATACTACTTTATAACCTGTAATTTGTCTATTTATATAGAACCCCAATGTCAATGCATGGCAGAGAGTTTGCTCTTATTTAGAAATTCCTTCACTCTGATACAGAAACATCACTGGATCCTACTAGCAGGTAACTATGTACTAGGTGACATATAAAAAAATAATAAAAACTCTGGGTTTTTATCTTACTCGAGTTATAAAAAGGCCTAAGAGTATAAGCAAACAGGTTTCCAGGGCAATGCTGCTAACCATCGCTACTTATGGAGCAAAGCCTGGAAGAGCAGCTTTCTCCAGGATCTGAATGATATTTATGTGCCTGTGGATCCACCATGGGGCAGACATGTTGCAGTGGGGTGGGGTGTGTGAGCATACTCATCCTGGCAAGACATGTAGGATGTGGGGTTCTTAAGGCGGTGGTACCAGGCAGCCTCCATGGCCCCCCACCTACAAGCTATAGACAAGGTGATCCCCACTGTGCAGAGCTCTGCAACATGGGGCTCAAGAAGTGGGATTCCTAGGACTGGACCCCTCCAAGATCCCCTCTGCATGTATGTGGTTGGAAGGGTGATCCCTCTCAGTAGCGTGATGTAATGGGTAAGATCAGTTACAGCACAGTGAGGCTGGTATGGAGGCAAACGCGGATGTGGGGAAGGGCAGTCTTGGGAACCAGTCAGACTGGGATTTAAGGGTCAGCCTCACTGCTTGCTTTGTGAAAATGGGGGTAATATTAATAGCTATCTCCATAAGATTATTTTGAGAATTTAAAAAATGAATGCAATCTATAAAATACTCAATGGCTGTTAGTGAATGCCATGTTACACAGATGTCAACTGACAGTCTGATAAAATGTCAAAGAATAGTCCTAGTGGGTCCAATCAAAACAGGGCGAATCCTTTGGGACACCTACAAGAAGGGAGAGAGACTGCTGCTGCTGGACCTCAGAAACAGTGGCAAGTCCGGCATGGGGAGATTTTTTTTTTTAACGTCTTAAAACCTTTTATCTTGTTTACATGTACATTTTTTATATTCAGCCAAGAGTTAAGCAGAACTCTACACCTAGAACGTGCTGCTTTTCAGACTTTGCAAGCATTCACGTCACACTGCAGAGCACAAAGGAGAGCCGTCATCTGAGAAGGCCCCACTGAGGGCACATTCACATCACCATGTGGATAGGACTGTTTGTTCAACTTGCCAATGTATCCTTAGCACCAATGAATACTCCCGAGCTACTATCAGCTGAGACGTGCTGAGGCTGAAAAGCTTTGGTCAGCCTGCCAAGGTCATGCAGTGAGTGTGCTCACTCATGAAGAGGCAGCGCCCGAACCAAAGTCATTCTTAAGCCCCTCCACCCGTTCTCTAACCGGTAAGGACTCTCCATTGTCATGTGGCACAGCCTACATGAGATCTGGAACATTCAATTATCAGCTTCCTTTTCTGGCAGAGCTTTTAAGTGTGGAAGTTATATTCCACAGTGATTGCAATGTGACTCCATCCAAAGTCCCACAAACGCTCAAGCAGCAGAAGTTTGGCCTAATCTACGTATGCTATCTTCATCTCCCACTTCTTTTATAAAAAGATGCAAATGTGCAGTGCTAATGGCATTTAATATTGCTAGGTCACAGATTTCACAGAGCTGGTATCAAACCTGGTATCTGTAAATGCAGTTCCACACAGTTAAGTGTACACAGTGAATTTAATTTTTGAAAAAGCTACTAAAAAAAAAAAAAACCAAAAACTTCAAGATCCACGACAATTTATTTTTTAGTATAGACTCTAGAAATAAAGCACTGTAATTCTCAATTAAACCTATTAAGTCATTATGGCAAAAGTCCTCTTTTTATTTACTGCCATTGTAAATGATCACAAAACATACTCACTGTTGAGTGAACACAAAGTCTTCCAAAGGTGCTTGTATTCTGCAAGGTGGGGAATAGCTAACTACCTTCTAAGGTGAATGTAGAGCCTGCCATTTCCAATCCCAAAACTCCTCTAGATTCTCATCAGGGTAGCTTCTGCTTCAAGCCTCTCTTTGGAAAGATCAGCCCTGTGTGGAAGGCTTATATCAACATGGAGATCCACCTAAGAATCACTGGCATGCTTTGGACCCAGCTGAAAGTCAGGCTTCCAGAAATGAGAATGTGTGCACACACTTCTTTTCCCACAGTTTTACTCTTTCCACATGTCAATTACTTACCTGCCCGGTCATATAAAATGTGGGATCGCTGGAGGCCCTCCTTCACGTCATTCTCTGTGATCAGAACTCTACTGGGAGAATAGGTTTGCCCACTCTTCTTACAGAACATCTTCCTAGAGCTTAACCTAGCCAGCACTGCCAGCTGCAGTCCGTTCAACCCAGCTCGGGCGTCACCGTCACTGAGGTAAGCCAGGGTGTCTACTGCTTTATCCTCTATGAAGATGGCGGGCCTGAAACACAACCAGGGTTAGTTACCCTCACACTCAGGCTGCATACTTCTTAGAAACTCACACTTCTCGGCAAGGACACTGAAGAGTTGAAGGCCTTTGCCTCTTATTTTCACCTCACATTGTCAATGTGCTTAAGCATCAACAAGACTATGAACTGACTGGGTCTCCTAAGTCAGCAGGTTATCGCCCTGTATCTTATGAGTGTCAAGGGTTTCTCACTGCATAGGTTCACACATCTAAGCTTGTGTGAAACAGACACTGAATGGCCTGGAAAGTTACTGTTGTCAGGTAGTCTCTCTGGTTCTACCCTACAGATCAGTGAAAACTTTATTAGAAAAGCTAGCACCTCATTACCGTGTATGGAAAACATGTTCCAAATGCAGCCTACATCCTGCTGAGACAGGCATAAACTTAGACTACTTTCCACACAAGGGAGAGACAGCATCACATCTGAATATTAGTTGTGAAGGGCTCCAGATCATGCAGTTCAATTCCTTTGCTTTAAAAACAACCAACTGAGTCCCTAGTTACTCTGAGCACAGCAGGTCCTAGAAGGTCTCAGGAATTTGGCCTGGGACATTTTGGAGGTTGCAGTAGGTCATCTCATAGTGGGCACTAATCATGCACAATCCGCACAGGGTAAGCAGAGGTCATTAGCTGGGAAGCGACCAGAAGACTGTTGGTACATAGCCATGAGACCCTGGGTAAGCCATCTAACCTCTCTCTGAACATCAGGACTAAAACTAACAGTCACATTTCTAAATTTGGACCCTCATAAATAAGACCTATCTATGATCAGAAGACTGAGTCAGTAAAATTTTCTATTTCTAGTCAAGTTAAACAAGATATGTAACACATTTCATGACTTCGTGGGGTCTTATATTATTCCTGGCTGGGCTGCTAGTTGCATATTTGTGAAGCAAAAAAATAAATTTTCAGTTACAGTTCACTTATGTCATTACTATCAACGTTCAGCTTATAAGCTGAAGAGTAAATAAAAAGCCCATTAGGACCGTCTGAATCAGCTACCTGGAAAATAATGTACAATCACCAACGAGGCTGGGCCAGGGAGGGGGTGGCAGTTTCCAAAGGGGACCAAGCTTGCCTGCTGCATCAATGCAGAACTCCTCACCACACACCCACTCACCGACACTACTCTGCTCACTGAGGAACCCGAATAATACCAATCGGCATTTCATTCATGGAAAGATTTGTTCCTAATGTCTTCAAGATGCTTCACCTCATCCCTATATTTACCGAAGTTGATTTCCAGTTATTCCTTGTGGGTCTCTCACCACACCTAAGACACCTGGCCCAGCTTTAAAACAAATGACTCTCTCCTCACTCATGCCAACCACCGGGGCCCCAGAGCCACTGGTGCAGCCTGGAGACCCATCTTCCTCTTTCCTGATGGCAGCATTCTCTCAGCAAACCTCACCAGAACACGCACACAAAACACACACCAAGGCCATGTCACTGGCACTCTATAAAGCCTCTGGATCATTTCTCAGCTGGAAATTGGTTGGCAAGTTTTCTGGAAGATGATTTGGAAGATAATGAGAGGCAGAATATAAACTAAAGAAAATGTATGAGAGGGACCAGCATCAGAGGGGTGTGGCAGCGTGCGACATCCCTGGGAGAGAAGGGCACGCTCTTAGCTCCTTACTGGGCTCGACCTGTGTGAGGAGACAGGAAGGGAGAATAGAAACTGCCTGGGCATCTCATTTCCGCCTCAGAACTAATAAAAGCGATGTCTTCTATCTCCTTGGAAAGCTGCTGAGCAACAAAAGGCCTGTAGGACAATTGAGGGAAGAAAACGGAGTAAAAGCAGGAGCCCACTGGATCCTAATGGACTGAAGCAGCCTATCTCCTGCACCACGGGTCGGGTTGTGGGTTGCTTACATTACATTCATCATCTCTCCATCCCTACTATATGTTGAGCACCTCAAGGACAGGAATATTTTATTCTTTTTTTGTATTCCCAGACCTGGCAGATGATAGGCATCCAATATTTGCACAATAAAGGGACTAACTTCAGTTTCATCATCATCTCAGAGTGAAACCTTTACTTTTTATAAATTATATGGGAAGTGTAGAGAAAACAAAAAGAATCCATATTTTTAGCACCCAGAAATAACAGCTGCCGTGTCAAGAATTTCTTTTATGCAATCATCAACCTTACAACTTACTTTTAAAACAAAAATTGGGACCATATTTTGTATAGTTTTACGTCCTTTACCATTAAATAGTTGTTTGAAAAACAAGTTACTCAGACCTGTGAATATTTACTTTTAAAAAATGTACATTAAATTTTAAAAATAGACAAAGGGAGAAAATTCACCTTGCACTAGACTACCTTGACATTAGTATTTTGGTATGTACCCCTTTTCCACGTATTTGTCCTTTGTACACATTCAGGGGCGTGACAAGATGGGTACAGTGGGGACAGTAACAAGATGGGTGGCCTTATATACCACGGTATTTATTAGTATACTGTCCCACTTCTATTAGTCCTCATGTACAGTCAGGAAGGCAGGCCTTATTAATTGGAAGAGAAGCCAACTAGCAGTCTACAGATTCATGAACAGCATGCTGTGAATAAGTCTTTAGCAATGATGATGTATTTTATGTGGCTGGAAAATAAGGTCTTCCTTTGGCTTGTAAACACCTGACCAAAGCACAAGTAGTTCTACTCTTCTGGTTTGGGGTCATGGGGAATGGAGGTGCTGCCACAACGAAAGCCACCTGAGCTCCCACCACTCCACTTCCCCTTGGGTATAATCCACTTTTTAAATTTCACCCCTGTCCAAAAGAAGAAAGTATTTCAAGGTCCAAATCAATCTGTTAGCAACTCTGTCCAAGTAATACAGGAGCTACTGACACCACTCACAACAGTCACACAAGAAAATTACAAAATGGGCCGGGCACAGTGGCTCACACCTGTAATCCCAGCACTTTGGCAGGCGGAAGCAGGTGGATCACGAGGTCAGAAGATCAAGACCACCCTGACCAACATGATGAAACCCCGTGTCTACTAAAAATACAAAAAAAAAAAAAAAAAAAAAAAAAAAACTTAGCCAGGTGTGGTGGCACATGCCTGTAATCCCAGCTACTTGAGAGATTGAGACAGGAGAATCGCTTGAACCTGAGAGGTGGAGGTTGCAGTCAGTAGAGATCGTGCCACTGCACTCCAGCCTGGGCAACAGAGCAAGACTCTGTCTCAAAAAAAAAAAAAGAAAATTACAAAATGGAAATTTACCATGAAGAACACTGAGCCTTTTAGGGAAAGATTCCACTTAACACCCAATATATATCTTGAACCCCCATTTACTAAGTCCTGAGGAATAAAGTAAGATACACTAAAATACTTTGAGTCCTTCAAATGGGGAGCTTATGAGAGCACTCATGCCAAGAGTGATGAAGGGATAGCTGTATCGATATTGGCAAAATCCCTCAGCAAACAGTAACTGCTACACAAACTCTTTTGAAAGAGTATTCCTAGTATAGAGAATTTACAATTATTTTTAAATTTAAGCATATATTTATAAAACATTTTGCATTTAATAATAACTTTCCAAAGGTAGAATACAATTAAATGACGTGAGATCTATTCTGGAGACAGACTGCCCAAAACATCATGGCATCCTACATCGAAATAAACAATAGGAAGTAAATTATGTTGTTATAATAAAACACTATTCAGTAACAAGGGAAAACTGGTTCAAATAATGCATTGGAAAAATCATATTTCTAGTTAACAAGATCTAGCGATAAACACAGAGTTAGAAAGCTTAGCTTCTCCAACTGAAGAGAAGAGCCTTAATCTTAATAGAAGAATACAGGAAGCTGTCTTCTTCTTCCGGGTGCCTAAATCCTGAAGCCTTCTATACATTGGATAATACTGGGATTTGGAGAATAATTAGATAGCTGGATTTATAAGTGGAGGAGAGTGGTAAGTAAAAATGTATCTGTTATTGCACGACAGAATGAAATAATATACATGGCTTGATTAAACGCTCCCTCTCTAAATTACAAACCAAACCCCACAAATTGCTTTCACTAAGGAAAAGGAACATTTCACAGTCAGGGTGATAACTGCTGTGCTGTGGTTTTCAACTAGGTACGTGCATCAAGTTAGACACAAATACAGCTACATGCACCTTACCATAGACTGAGCTCAAATCTCCAGAGACAGACCCTGGGCAAGGTATGTTTCTAAAATGTATCCCAGGGAAGAGTGATGTGTAGATCTGGTTAAAAGGCTCTCCTGGGCTGGGCGCAGTGGCTCACGCCTATAATCCCAACACTTTGGGAGGCTGAGGTGGGCAGATCATGAGGTCAAGAGATTGAGACCATCCCTGGCAACATGATGAAACCCCATCTCCACTAAAAACACAAAAATTAGCTGCGCGTGGTGGCGAGTGCCTGCAGTCGCAGCTACGTGGGAGGCTGAGGCAGGAGAACTGCTTGAATCTGGGAGGTGGAGGTCGAAATGAGCTGAGATCACACCACTGTACTCCAGCCTGGCAAGGGGGAGACTCTGTCTCAAAAAAAAAAAAAAAAAAGGCTCTCCTGCTACTTTACAGATGGAACTACTTTGTTCCTAATCCATTACAAATGGATACACAGTTGCTCTTACACAAAGTGCCAAGAGAGAACAGTCACAATGGAAAAACCGAGCAGTGGGTCCCACCTCTCTAAACCTGGCACCCACACCTGAAGTCGCTGAGTACATAGAGACATGTCTTAAACACTGGCTCCATCACACTGA